CCCCTGTCACTCCCCAGTGAGGGACAGGGACACCCCCCTGTGTCACCCCTGTCACCCCCTGTCCCCTCAGTGTTCCCCTGTCCCCCTCGGTGTCCCCCTGTCCCCTCAGTGTCCCCCTGTCCCCGTCCGTGTCCCCCCGTCCCCTCACTGTCCCCCTGTCCCCAGGTGTCCCCCTGTCCCCTCAGTGTCCCCGCTGTCCCCGCAGTGTCCCCCTGTCCCCAGGTGTCCCCAGGTGTCCCCTCAGTGTCCCCAGGTGTCCCCTCAGTGTCCCCCTGTCCCCTCAGTGTCCCTCTGTCCCCTCAGTGTCCCCCTGTCCCCATGTCCCCTCGGTGTCCCCCTGTCCCCTCAGTGTCCCCCTGTCCCCACAGACCTCCTGGTTGGCGCCTTCGGGGCGGACGCGGCCGTGGTTTACAGGTGAGTGTCACCGATGTCACCGGTGTCACCAGTGCCCCCCGGGGGGTCCCGGGGGGGTCCCTGACCCTGTGTCCCCCCAGGGGCCGCCCCATCGTCCACGCCAGCGCCACCCTGGCCATTGTCCCCTCCATGTTCAACCCCGAGGAGCGCGGCTGCGTCCTGGGCAGCGGCCACCACGTGTCCTGGTGGGTGACACGGGGACAGCGGGGACAGCGGGGACAGCAGGGGACACTGCGGGGACAGCAGGGGACAGCGGGGACAGCGGGGACAGCAGGGGACAGGGCAGGGACAGCAGGGGACACTGCGGGGACAGCAGGGACACCACGGGGACACTGGGGGGACACTGCAGGGACAGCGGGGGACAGGGCAGGGACAGTGGAGAGAGGATGGGGGACACTGGGAGGGGACGCTGGGGACACTGGGAGGTGACACTGGGGACACTGGGAGGGGACGCTGGGGGTTCCCTGGGATGTGAGGACGCTGGAAGGGGGACAGGGGACATGGGGACACCGGGGCTTCCCAGGGACACGGGGACAATGCGCTGGGGACACCGCGGGGGGGACTGGGGACACTGCGGGGTCACTTGGGTGTCCGTGCCGGGGGGACACTGAGGGGACACTGAGGGGACAGCGGTGGGGACAGCCAGGGATGGCCAGGGGGGCACCGAGGGGACACAGAGGGGACACACGGTGCCACCCCTGTGTCGTCCCCCCCAGCATCAATGTCACCTTCTGCCTCAACGCCTCCGGACGTCACCTGCCCGGGCCCATCGGTGAGGGGACAGGGGACACGGGGGGGACAGGGGAGGGGACAGGGGACACGGGGGAGACACGGCGGGGACAGGG